AGAGACAAAGCTGGAGAGTTAGGCAGGGGCCGGCTTATAAGAACCTCGAAACCATATTTACAAGCAGGCTACTGTGTGTAGAATGGATTGCAGGGGGAGAGAATGGCAGTAAGGAGACCAGTGAGGAGGCAGTTAGGTGAGAAAATGGGTGACCACATAATCTGTCCTCCAAACCAGGACATTTGTGCAGGTGAAAGGGGGTGCTACAAACAAGTCATCAGGGACAACAGGCACAGCCAGGACTTGCCATTGCCAGATCTCTACCTGCCGTCAGCAAGCTCCAGCCAGGACTGTCACAGGAAGTTCAGCAGTTTTTAGCAGTTCTGCTCTGACACAGAGCTCCCAGCTCTAGGAGAAAGAATCACTTTTCTATTTGGCCCCAGGCTCCTGGCCTGGTGCCCCATGCCTGAGCATTTGGTTTCTGTCTAGAGGCCATGGGTTACAGTTGCAGCACATCCATGGAGCGTGCCCTTTTCCCTGTGTGTTCTGGTGTGCTCTGGACGACAACCAACAGTACACAGATGAAAGAACAAATGGGGGAGAGGGGCACCCGGGGGGCTCAGTCGCTCTTGATCTCGGCTCAGGTCTTGATCTCAGGGTCATGAGTGAGGAAGGTGAGGGCTCCATGCTAGGCATGGAGCTACTTAAAAAAAAAAGGAAAAACAAATAGGGGAGATGTGGTCACCCCTTCTGGAGGTGGTGTCAAAACAGTGGAAGCCAGAGAGGGATGGACAAGCTCTAAGGGGCAGAAAGGGGATTCTTAACTTGGCCCTCAGGGGGGTTGGTGAAGCAGGTGAGAGGGCCACAAGCTTTCACCGGATTCTCAAACCTAAGATTCCAAAAGACGTAGAGAACCTCGCTTTAGAGAGCAGTGGCTCTCCCACTTCAATGTGCCTTACGGTCACCTGGTGGGCTCATTACAACAGAGTCGCTGGGCCCCTGAAGAGCAAAGCTAAGGTTCTGATTTGGTTCGTTCGGAGTTAGGCCCAGGAATTTGCATTTCTGACAATTTCTAAGGGAATGCTCATGCTCTCGGTCCAGGGGCCACACTTAAAGAATCACTGTTATAGAGGATACAGAACACATGAGGGGTTCCAGCTTAAATTGTGAACTTCTCTTTTCAGACAAGAGTTCTAACAGATGCCACAGCCATCTAAACCACCCCAAGTCCCCAGGAATTTCAGATTTTATTTTTGGAAGAGGCCCCTGGAGAGTGACAGACTCTGGACCTCCCCTTGGAGGTCAGGAAGCATCTGGAAAATAGCATTTTAGAGGATGCAGGATGCCTTCAGAAACATAAAAGCCCAAGCATAACTCCGAGCTAGAAACTACACGACTAGCCCCGGCTGATCCAATTACTGGGCCAATTACTGGTGAATAGTGAGGTTTTGGGAATCTGGGCAAACCCAGATCCTCTCCTAAAGGCTACCTCCTGATCCTTTTTGAGCCTCTATCTGAAGCCAGATGGGAAACAGGACAGGGTGTCTGCTGGGGGCTATAATCCGGGAAACAGAAAGAAATCAACAACTCCACTAGACAGAATTCAGGGGCTTCATTCACAGAGCTCTTTGATCAAGTCATTGTGGTGAGGATGGGAAGAGGCAGGAAGAGTATTGAGGGCTGTGCTTACTTTCAAAAGAGCAGTGGAGAGAGAGGCCTGGAAAGGCCACTGCCAGCTTCCCTCAGCCCTGCTCTGAGTAAGTCACTCCCCCATGAAACGGGAGGGGAAATGAAAATGTGGATTCATTCAGGAATCAACCTTCAGAACAGGAAGTGTGGCTTTTGAGCTATACAGGGAACATAAGCTTTGCCATCCAGCTAAGTACATCCTGAGGTAAGGCAACATCAAAGTCAGGGGGACTCTACAAGTTAGAAGAGGAGGCAGAACCTTATAGGGAAGACAATACACTAGAGTGACTGAGACCAAGGGTGTGCTCTGGCACCAACCTGCCAGGACTTGTGACTCGAATTCTGTGTGGCCCTGGGCATATTACTTAATTGCTCTGTGCCTCAGTTTCCCTCTTCTATAAAATGGGGGTAAATAAAAGTGCCTATCTCATAGGGTTGTAGTAAGAATTAAATAATCTAGATAAAACACGTAGCTTGGTACCTTGCATATTTTAAGCATTCAATGTTAGTTTAAAAAAAAAAGTAGTGGGCTTGGAAAAATTTACGATGGTAGCAGTACAGAGCCACCCTTAGTGTCACTACCAGAGACAGAAAAACTGGAGGCAGGTTAGACCTGCTGCCAATCTTCCCAGGAGGATGACAAGGAAACTCCTGCTCCTTGGGGGAAGGTCTAAGGTGTGAGCTGGGTATGCGAGGAGAGCC